AGCTGAAGTTCACTTTTGTAATCTTCTATATTTTTGGAGCCAACTTTTTTAAGCCGAAATTCTTCCTTCTCTAAGCAGGTCAGTTCTTTCCATATTTCACCTTGCCGTGGAAGCTGATCTTCTTTGAATATATGGATATCTTGAATTTCAGCAGTGATGGCTTCTGCATTTGTCTTTGCAGTCTGGCACTCTGGAGAGTCTTCATCAACCAGGATTCCCAGTTCATGGGCAATTTCTGCCATCTGCTCTGTTTGCATCTTTATCTGTGAGTTCTCAACTACATCACTGATTGTTTTCCTCAAGCCTTTGACAAAATCGGCAGAATTTTTTTGTTTTGTCTTAATAATGATGTTGTTGTTAGTCAAGCCCAACATTGTTGCTACTGTTTCTAAAGTATCTAAACTGAAGCTCTGGCTCTCATAGTTACCTACCAAGAAGATCTGTGCCTTGTGGTGTTGGTTAGTAAGTAGACTGCACTCAGAGTCCAAATGGTCAAAGAACACAAAAACTGCTGCAGATGTCTGGCACAGAAAGGAGTATTGTGTTTCAAATGAAGCAATGTCCCCACGAAGGTTAGCTACAGCCACTGGCTGACTGAAAATATCAATGTTTGTGTTTCCACAAGGAAGATACCAAGTAATCTCAGTCAGTCCGTTGGATATTCTTCTTGGACTGTCACCACACTCCATGTTGCGATGAACAAAGGTGTCATGGTACTGCTGAGAATTGCTCAGAAGTTTATTGAGAATCTCTGACTTGGACGAGGAGCACTCCCCCAGTCTGACAAAAGAGATCATTGGAAGTTCAGAGAGAACGATTCTGTCTTCAATGAAGCCCTTGAATTCTGACCGAGACTGAGGTCTGTACTTTTTAACAATGTCTCTCATGGCCCACAGCATGAGTGTGCACTGTTTCGTTTCTTGATTGGAAAGCAGCAGAGGAACAGAGAACTGACACATGGACATTTTTAGTGACATTTCCTGCTGTACAAAACCATCAGAATTGTTACACCCCTGAAAACAGGGGGAAAAGAATCACGAGAGTGATTATG